CGGTGGAATGTGTGACCGCCAATAGGTGAAGAATTCCACCGCTTTATCAGCTGTTCCAGGGCAGATCGGTTCTCCTGCAAATGCGATCTGCGATGCCGATCTACCCTGGAACAGCTGACAAAGCGTTGGAATTCTTCACCTATTGGTGGTCACACATTCCACCGGAAAAAAACTGGGCGGGATTACATTAAAACCATTGACCACGTCACCGGTCACACATTCTAACATAGTCACAAACTTTGATAGAACACCGCCATCTGGGGGGTATGGCCGGTACCCATGTGGGGGGCCTCTTACATGGGTATCAGCTGTACCAGGGGCGGCATGGCAGAGGTGACAGGGGAGGGGGTGGAGGAGGCCGGGCCCCAGCAGCAGCAGGTAAGAAGAAGTGTTAAATAAATCGCATCAGTGTGAACCCAGCCTAGAACTTTAGTACTTTGAGTAAAAGGCAGCACCCCTCAGTAACGTTGCACAGGCAGCCAGGAGACGTGTGTTACATATACAGCAAGATCTCTTTTTTAAGGACTTACGTAATGAACTGGGCATTGTCATGATGTTTTCTGGGCAGCAGACTAGTCTTCTTCCAATCTACAAATCGTTGTAATAGCTTGTCGACATTGGAAACCACTTCGATCTGATCACTGATGTCCCATATTTCAATCCCAATCAGAGCCACAAAAATATGGATAATTTTATATACCTGTATAATAAGAAGAGTCTGAGGTGGTACATGAGCTAAAAGACATGCACTATATAAAAGTTCCCCAGCGCAGAGCAGCTATTTCCTCCCTTCGCCACGTAGGAGCGTCCAACATATGAGGTCAGGTGTCAGGGCATCTTGAATTTGTACCTTTTTTGGCTGATTTGTCAGATGTACGTTCATGCTGCAGACAGGGACGGATTTACTCTCTCTCTCTGCTGCCACAAGGCAAGGTTTCTGAATGCGCCCCCCTCCCCACCAATCCCCCCCGCCCCCAATGGAGAATGGCAACTAGATGGCGGGGGCGGAAAGGCTAGTTTTAATGTGGTTTTTCTTTTTACTTTTTATGACTTTTTTGTTTCTATTTACTTTTTTATTTTTTTATTTATCCTATTATCTTTTACTTTTTCTATTTTTTATCATATGATTTTTCTTTACTTTTTATGTTTATAATTTTCTTATCTTATTATTTTTTACTTTTTAATCACCTTTTTATTTGAATTATTCTTTTTTACTTATTTTCTTTTCTTAATTTTTATTTTTATTGTATTTTGATTTTTTTTCACTTAACTTTATTGCTATCACACAGGAGCTAACAAGCCCCTTGCATGATTGCAATACAAGAGTTCTAGCACAGCACTGTGCTGGCTCTCGTGTGACAGCTGAGCTGAGACCCTAGATCACCTGTAAACGAACGATTAGCTACCCGGCTGTGCCTTTAGCTCTGTTTGCCCGAAGCAGTTCTAAATGTAGAAAACAACTACCTGCCTGGCCCCCAGAATTGCATGTCCCGGATATTGGGCGATAGTAATTCCAGACCCCTGCTGCCCCTCTGCTCCCTGCCGTTCCAAGGCCGGGCCTCGGTTGGCCTTGTGAAAAATCACGCCCTGGCTGCAGATCCCCCATTATTGCACATCCCAAAGGTGTGTTATTGGACTTAGATCAGTGGCTCTCAACCTTTCTAGGGCCGGGGGCCCCTAGGTAACATTTGCCAAGATGTGGTGACCCCCAACCGTAAAATTTAGGGATGCACCAATAATAGTATCTGTGTGGGCTCTCAGGAGGCTATGCGTGCTCTCAGGTGATTAGTGGGACTCTCTGATGGCGGCCAGTGCGGGCTCTGTGATGCCCAGTGCGGGCTCTGTGGTGATCAAGCACTCACCTCCTCTCACTCCTGCCTGCTCCCCTCTCTCTGATCCTCTCTGGCCGCTGCTGCTGCAGCGCCATCTAGGAGAACTGACACTGCTGCGCTAGGAGGAGGCTGAGGAGCCTCTTACCTAGAGCATCACAAGGCACGTGGGGACCCCCTCAACTGTGGGTTGCGACCCACTTTTGGGTTGCGACCCACAGGTTGAGAACCACTGACTTAGATCCAGTGACTGGCCTACCTGTGTGCCTCAGCAGAATTCGGGTTACATTTTTCCAGTCTTCAACTGTCCAGTTTTGGTAATCCTGTGCCCAGTGTAGCCTCAGCCTTCTGTTATTGGCTGGTAGGAGTCATGCTATGGTCAAAACCACTAAGATTACACTTTACCCCCAAAGGGTCTGGTATGAATTTGGGGGGGGGTTTAGCTGCATGCATTTTTTTTCTCTTTTGGCATAGGGTCCCCCCTAAAATTGCTACCAATTTTAAAGGGTCTGGTAGGAATTTGGGGAGGGACCCTACACTGTTTTACTATGTTAAAGTGGCATTAAAGTCAAAAAATGTTTTCCCTCCCCCCAATGTTAATTAAAGCACTTACCTTAAATGATGTCTCTTAATCCGATCTTCTTCTTTCCTGTCCTTTTCAGCCTTCTCTCCAACGCTGCTGTGGGTCTCCGATCCAGCGCTGACTCCTCTGTCCTTGCTGGCACTTCCTGTCCCACAGTGTCTGCATGCAGGTGCACGCCGTCCATAGACTTAACTTGTGTCTCTCCTCGTCTCCCGGCCGAAAATCCGAACTGCGCATGCGCCCGCCCCAAGATGCTTTGCGGCAAGCCCGAGCAGTTTCGGATTTTCGGACGGGAGCGCGCGGCAAAGACAGGGGTATGTTTAAACCGCTTTTAAAGCAGGTTTTTTTCTTTTAACTTTTTGCATAGATCTTCTGCTTGCTAGCAGTACATATATGCAAAAAAAAAACCCGGAGGGTTTAGAAACCCTTTAACAACTTAATAAACTCCATCCAAATAAAGTCCATTTGATCCGTACCGAAAACGAGAAAATTGTATCGATCCGAATCAAGAAGTGAATCGATTGTGGATCCGGAAAAAAAGACAAATCGATCTGAAGCGAAATGAAGGGAATTTCTTGAGTTTGAGTTGAGTTTTTACATGTCCAGTTATTGATGAGAACCTGCAGATTTGTCATCTCATGTTTCTTTATTATCCATAGAGACCCCAACCAATTCCGAAAAATGAGAAACACTCATAAGCCGTGGCATTACCATGTTTACGTAATTCACAACATCAAATAGCCTGCGTTTCAGGGTTTCCATGCTGCTGCCATATTTCTTGTACTGGAAGAAAAATGCAGAACCAAAATGTCAAAAGAACAGTCAGTCATTTTTCAGATAACAATTCCTGTTACTTTAACACAGAACATTTTAAAATGTACTTTCAGACAAAGTCCACTTATCCATGCTGCCCATCTCTACTGACCTACAACTCAACCCCCCTCGCCACGGCTGCAGCCTGCTCACCTGAATAAGATAGTCATGGGCGGCCTTCCCTGATGCTTACATCCTTCAGGGGTCAGGGGTAAGAAAGATTGTGGATGGAGGACGTAAACATTGGGGCAGGCTGCAGCCAGCCCGGATTTCCGACAAGGCCACCGGCCTTGGGGCGTCAGGGAACTGAGGGGCGGCAGGGGTGAGGGTTGTAGAATCTCCTGGCTCCCTCCTTCCCCTGTCGTCGTGCCCCCCCCCCCCCCTATGTACCCCTCTCCGGCGTGAGCAGAGCGTGGAACGTCCGTTCTCCACTATGCTCCATGTAAACAGTGAGAGGGGCCTTTCCCTCTCAGCTGTCACAAGAGTTCCAGCACAGTACTCTGCTAGAACTCCTGTATTGGAGGTGACAGGTGCAATAAAGAGGACCTGTCACCTTCAAAAGGTATCACACAGGGGCTTGTTAGCTCCTGTGTGATAGCAATGAAGTTAAGTGAAAAACACAACAAAAACATTGATAATAAAATAAATAAAGCAAATTTAAAAAAGCAAAAAATAACGAAATATAATAATTAAAATAAAAAAATAAAGAGGTGATTAAAAAGTAAAAAAATAATAAAAAAGAAATAAATAAAAAATAAGAAGATACAAAAATAAGAAAAAAAGTGATAAAAAATTAAAAAGTAAAAGTTTAGATAAATACAAATTTTAAAAAGTAAAAAACAAAACAAATACAAATTGAAAAAATAAAAAAGTGATCAAAAAAAAATTAACTAACCCTGCCGCCCCCGCCATCTGGTTGTCATTCTCCATGGGGGGGATTTGGCGGGGGCATTGAGGAACCCGGCCTTGGGGCAGCACAGAGAGTAAATCTGGCCCTGGCCGCAGCTGTCTTACTTATGCCAGTAAGCAGCTGGAGGGTCGGGTTGGGTATAAATTTAAACTGCAGACTGTAGACTGAACATGGAATAAAGACGGCATGCATTGTTAAATCCTAACTCCAGCAAAATATAAAAAACAAACTTTGACATACCGTAGTTACATATTCAATTAAAAAAAAAACATGTATTGGCTGATATGTGTATTTAAATTTGTATATCAGTTTTCTGTAATCCCCAGCACAGTGGTGCCATCCACTCAGGCCTTACTGCATTGTACACTGTTGTCGGTCTAACACAGGGAATATGTTCCCTGGAGAGAAGAGCATACAAACTACTTGATCAGTGTGCTCCTGCTTTTTCATTGCTTATTTATTAATGCCTATAAATTTTCTAAACTCACACTCCATAATCAGAAATTAGGAAACAGTTAACAAATAGACCGTGCCCCCTGCTGAATGGTGTGGTTCCTTCCAACAACCCCCTAGGACACTACAGGACATAGCAGTGATATAGGGGTCAAGGATAGACAAGGCAGGAAACATGGGTCAACTGCGAGGTGTGTTTAATTGCAGGGACAGTTAGATTGTGTCTGTGAAGGTTCTCATTCATCCAGGTCATGGTATATCTGTGTAGCCCCCATCACCTTCTGTGATGTGGCTACTAGTCATTTAGTGATAGCCAGGGCTGTAGACAGCCTGGCTGGATTTGTAGTGGCAAATATATGGTTAATCCCAGGTGTCTAGCCTTGCCTGTACCCCCCTGGGCGGAGTGTGACTGTAGGACAGCCAATGGGAGACACTGTAATATATGTACAATACAGCAGCCAATCACTGGGCTTTTCTCAGCCAGTGGTGCATGCTGGGATAGAGTACATATATTGGTGGGAGCTGCCATGTGCTCTCTCTCTCTCGCCAGTGCCAGCCATGGCATAGGGCTGGGTCCTGTTCAGCATGCCCCCCAGGCTAGGCTGAGGGCTGGGGGTGGGCATTGGCTGGTGTGAGGGAAAAGGTTTCCCTGAGGCCTCCAACAAGGAGGAGGCCTGTGAGACTGAAAGAGGAAGAGAACCAGGACCAATGCAGGCTCTTGAAGTACCCAGGAACTAAGTGGACTTCAGAGCATGGTCGGTGTCTTTCCTGTGATTGAGGATCTGCATCCATCCTGTCTGTCTGTCAAATCAGTGGTTATCTGATGTCTCCCAGGTGGATCTACACTAATACTTCTACAAGGTCCGGTGAGTCTGGAGCTTCTGATGGTTAGCCCTGGATACCTAGAACCCCTCTACCCACTCTCCCAAAGAAAATGTTCAATAAATTGTTTCTTTAGCATCCTACTACTGGATTGGACATCAGTTTATGGGCACCAGAAGAAGGGCCGTTGAGGCTATTGGGCAGGCAGCTGAAGATCATACCCTAGACCGACTAGAAGTGAACCGGGCACCAGCGGCTCCTACGGGGGTAGCGCTACATTTGTAAAAAATAAGTCAAGGCAAGTGGACTTGCTGTATTTTTCTTAAAGACGTTTCACTGGACATCCAACCAGCTTTCTCAATTCAGAATGACTTGTACAAAAATTCTCTGGGAATAAATATGGTGAATGTTGCTCCAATCCACATAATTTGTTAGTCACAACCAGGTGTTGATTGCATTTGCATAACTGGAGTCTAGGGGGCGTTAGTAACCTAAAACAGCATTGTATGTGGCAGACAATAGATGTCTCACCCCCTGCGTACTTGAAGACAGTCAAGTACGCATCCTAGACAGGGAGGAGGACTGGCTTGAATAGAGGTGGGAGAGGGGGGTAAGACATCTATCGTCTGCCACATACAATGCTGTTTTAACACCTCTCTCTGGACAGGTTATTAATACCTCCTAGCTCCAATTATTCAAATGCAACCAACACCTGGTTGTGACAGATGATGTGGATTGGAGCGACATTCACCATATTTATTCCCAGATAATTTTTGTACAAGTCATTCTGAATTGAGAAAGCTGGTTGGATGACCAGTGGAACGTCTTCCAGAAAAATACAGCAAGTCCAGTTGCCTTGACTTATTTTTTACAGATATGTCAGATTGTTTTATGTAATTTACACCAGAAGGTGCATTGACATATATACAGTATACTATGCTATCATGTATTATATAACTAACATTACACTGTAATAAGCACATTAGACATACCATGCTGTGATCGGCCACAATAAACAATTCAACATGTTTTTTAGCATTCAACAGATGTTCCTTCTGAAAAAATGTAAAAAAGAATGAAATGCTCATTACTATTAATAAGTGTATGTAGGTAAATAATGCAATAAAGGCAAACTCACCACTGCTAGGATAAAGGTTATGCTAAGAGGGGAAGTACCCCCTTACCGGGGTGAACTGGGTACTCGGGCACTGGCCAAGGGCCTGCGGCCAGGAGGGGGCTGTCACCTACCTCCCCCTCTCCCCCCCCCCCCCCACTGCACTTTCCAGCCCGCATGGAAGGAGAGGCAGCTGTGTGCACCATTGCTGTGCACTGGCCAAGGGCCCCACATTAGACATACCATGCTGTGATCGGCCACAATAAACCATTCAACATGTTTTTTAGCATTCAACAGATGTTCCTTCTGAAAAAATGTAAAAAAGAATGAAATACTCATTACTATTACTGCTGAGAACTTACATTACTGCTGAGAACCTCCTCATCTGCCCCTGCTGAGAACCTCCTCATCTGCCCCTGCTGAGAACCTCCTCATCTTCCACTGCTGAGAACCTCCTCATCTGCCACTGCTGAGAACATCCTAATTTGCCCCTGCTGAGAACCTCCTTATCTGCCCTTGCTGAGAACCTCTACATCTTCCCCAGCTGAGAACCTCCTCATCTGCCCTTGCTGAGAACCTCTACATCTTCCCCTGGTGAGAGCCTAGGCATCTGCACTGCTGAGACCCTCCAAATCTGCCCCTAGTGAGAACCTCCAAATCTGCCACTAGTGAGACCCTCCTCATCTGCTCCTGGTGAGACCCTCCTCATCTGCCCCTGGTTAGACCCTCTGCATCTGCCCCTGCTGAGACCCTCCGCATCTACCCCTGCTGAGACCCTCTGTATCTGCCCCTAGCTGGTGAGACCCTCTGCATCTCCCCCTGGTGAGACCCTCCACATCTGCCCTGTTGAGACCCTCTTCATCTGCCCCTGCTGACACCCTCAGCATCTGCCCATGCTGAGACCCTCGGCATCTGCCCTGCTGAGACCCTCGGCATCTGCCCCTAGTGGGACCCTCCTTAGGCCCCATTCACACACGAATCGGCCTGCACGTATAGCTCCGCGCTGCGAGCGGGGCCGTACCAAGCAGCTGTCCTTCCCGGCAGCTACTTGGTACAGCCGTGTACGCAGCACGGAGCTGTACGTGCAGGCCGATTCGTGTGTGAATGGGGCTTTATCTGTCCCTGCTGAGACCTTCCGTTTTTGCACCTAGTGAGACCCTCTACATCTGCCCTGCTGAGATCGTTTGCATATGTTCCTGCTGAGAACATCCACATCTGCAGCTGGTGAAACCCTCCGCATCTTCCCCTGCTGAGACCCTCCTCATGAGCCTTGCTGAGACCCTCCCCATCTGCCCCTGGTTAGACTCTCCGCAGCATCCAACAGCTGGACCTGCTGAAGGTGAGCACTCCTCCATGTGCTGGCATGGAAGGAGCTGCCCATTAATGCAAGAGTGTGGGTGAAGTCCCACGGGGATCAGACTGTGTGTGATGGCTGATCCCAGAGATGTTGTTATGCATGTGACATTATAACTGCCCAGTCTGCCGTTCATAGATTCTGTTCTGAGGTCTGAGGTGTGCCGTGCATTGGTGCTGGTCTAAAGGTCTACTGTGCATTGGTGTTGGTGCTGGTTAGGTTGAAGCGGGATAGGCTTCCCTTAAGAGGTGAGTCTTCAGGGATCACCTAAAGGTAGACACAGTAGGAGATAGTCCGACAGGTTGGGGTAGGGTGATCCAGAGGATGGGAGAGACTCTAGGGAAGTCCTGGAAGTGAGCATGGGAGGAGTTGATGAGGGAGTTAGAAAGCAGGAGGTCATGGGAGGAGCAGAGAGGACGGTTAGAGTGATACTTTGAGATGAAAAGCAGAAATACTCTACTAAATTCGTCCTAAAATAAAGTTAAGATAAAACAATGTAGAAACATTAGTAGTTTCTATCCAGATAATATTACCTCTGCATCTGTGGCCCGCATTAATTTAAAGATGGGTGGCTTTGGTGACACGGAGACGTTACGGACACCACAAGTGTGGTTCAGTATATCTCCTGCCTCATATACAGCGTGCTCCTCGGTGTCTGTCATCCTAAGGGGCTCGATGACGAAGGTCTTCTTACCGGTCTGGATAGTCCCACTAAAAGAGGAACACAAATCGCCACATCAGAGCACATTCCATTCCAATTTTCAGGGTTCTGTCATCATAGTTTATCGCAAAATTCAATATTCCTTTCATTCTCATGTGCAAGTGCACATTTGTACACTCCATTTAGGCTTCATTCACACACAACGCAAGAGCAAAACTGTATATTGTGTATATACGTGCGTATAAGCTGTACAGGACGCCAGGAATGGGTCCTGGATGGACGATATATCCCTCCCTTGTTTAGGTGGTGGTCCCGTTAAGGTCACCTTGTAGTCAGGGTTCTCGCCAAGCAGGGTGAAGGGGGTGGGTCCGACTTGTAAGGGAAACTGCTAGTCAGTCTTCCCAGAGTTGTTAAATATACATGGGTCCCGGAATCCGGAGGCTCAGAAACAGGGCCGACGCTACCACATAGGCAACACAAGCGGCCGCTTGAGGGCACTGGTGGGGGAGGGCAGAAAAACAGCACCTCCCTCCCATACACAGGAGCAGCACAATCGACGGGGCTCTGATCTTCAGTTTCCTATAGTCAGAGCCCTGCCCACAGCTCCCTCTGCTCCCGCCCTCTCTCCAAAGGTTGCTCTTCCTGTTCCTGCACTGTCCCGGCCGAGATATTAACATATGAATGGGCCGCAATAATTTGCATATCAATAAGCAGCAAACCCATTCATATGTACATATCGTGACTCATTCATATGCAACTCATTGTACCTCCTTTAGAGCTTTTTGGTTGCCTGTGTCCTCCAAAGGCCTCTCATGCTGAAGCTTTTGCTTCAAAATGTCTTGCGGACCTGGGATAGGGATAGGGATAAGGATCTCCTACTTTTCTCTTACTTTCATTTGGCGCATGCTTGCTCTGGGTCAGCGACTGAGATGAATGAGGCCAGACACAGCCAGACATCTAGAATTTTCAGGAAAGGCCCAGCATTGGCAGCCTCTATGTAATTGTATTCTATGGTAAACACTGCAAATCTAACTCATAGTTTGTGCTCACAGGGAATACATGACACCAGTGGCGTAACAATCACCATAGCGACCCAGGCGGCGGCTATGGGGCCCGGGGCACAGGGGGGCCTGGCCAGGACATTCCTTGTTCCTTGCGGGTCCTTGGGTCGCTATGGCATCTCACGCTGCTGACTGTCACTGGCGGCTGTGAATAGAAATGTGATGCTGTGCAGCGGCGCGTTCCTCTCCACAGCCGATGCTGAGTCAGTGAGAGCCAGCAGCGGCAGTGGAGCAGGCTGGACCCAGACATGACACGTTCTCCTTATTTTTGCTAGTGCAAAAATGGTTTAAAATGTTAAATGATTTATATGTCATAAAAATGAAACAAAAAGAAGATCCTAATCTTTCTCGCCATATTCCCTTTAAAGGTGCAGCTTTCCCTCCAGCCTTGCAGAGTTGTACCGGATCCTCTCCTGGACATTCCTCACCCTGATTTCACTGCACCCTGCCAGCTTCTCACAATGTGCATCAGAAGCTGAAATAAGTCAGATAGAGCCCGCCTCATTTCCTAGCTGAAGGATGTCCAGCATCATCTCATGCTTTCCTCCCCAGCCTGATTTTCTCTCCCTTTTCATTGATTGGATTTCAGTTCTTTCAATGATGGAGGCTGAACATCACCTGTGGGTGTTACTTGGGGTGGTCCGCATGCAAATACAGACTGCCTAGGAACGCCCACTCCTCCAGACTGAAATCCACCCATCAAGGCATTTTGATATTTGCATAACTCCTCCCAAGTGTCAGGCCACTGCTTGCATCAGGACTGAGGGTCTGTTCACACCATTTTTTGGGCTAGATCTGGAAAATGGTGTAAACCTGCCCGCAGTTCCAGTGCATTCCAGACCAGACAAAATGAGACGTGCAGTATTTTTCTGATCTGGTCTGGAACGGACTGCGCTGGTGTGAACAGAGGCCAGAAATAGCATGGGGATACATTAGGATGCATTTTGGGTCCGGAAACAATCTGGTCTGGTCTGGAGATGATCTGGATGTGGTGTGAATGGGCCGTCAGGGTCTGTTCACACCCATTGCATTGGGGCAGCATGGGGTGTTTTTTCTAGAGCAGCCGCAATGCATGACAAGGCAATTTACCTTGCTCCAGGTTGGTTTAGTTAACACCACCGTGTTGCAGTGGTGTGAGCTAAAAAAAACTACGGCATGCAGTACTTTTTTTCGGCGCAGTGCAACATGGTACAACTGCATCACAACGGTTTGTGCCCATAGAACTTAAAGGAGAACTATGAGGTGAGTGATTTTCACTCACCTCATAGTTCTAGCCGACCTGTGACAATGAGACTGTCACAGGTCGGCTCAGTAGATCGGTAAGTGAGCAAACACATACCGGCGCTCGCTCACTGCTCGATCCTGTCACTGCAGAGAGACAGGGGAGGGGCTGGATTCCCCCCTCCCCGCTCTGATCCTCCAGCGCTGACTGGCCGGACAGGGAGGAGGGTGCGGGTACAGCTGGCTCTGCCTCTAGATAGGCAGAGCCAGCTGTCACTCACGCAGCTGTGTGGATCCAGACATAATTGTCAGGATCCATATCAGCTGCGTCGATGCATCACAATAGACACATCAACAAGCCGAGCACATGCACACTAGGGATGGGCTGCACGTTCGACTCGAACATATGTTCTAACGTTCGCCGAACGCCAAACATTATGGGATGTCCGCGGTCTGTTCGACTGCGGGACATCCCACAATGCACTGCGCCGTCCGAAACGGTAATTGACTGTGCCAATCAGGGCTCAGTACAAATATAGAGCCATGATTGGGCAAAGTCACGATGACTCTGCCCAATCATGTCTCACAGCTAAGTCCCTGCAGCACACTATATAAGGCTGCTGACACCGCGGCCCTATGTAGTGTGTTGTAGGAGATAGAGAGAGAGGGTTCTAGTATATATATATATCTCAGACTTCTGTATATATTAGAGTTCTATATAAATATCAATAAAATGTATATAAATGTCATTTTTGCTTCAGCAGGTTCTATACATCATACAGATGCGCCACTTTACGGTCAGTGAAAGGGGACCCCCCAGGCACCATATATAAAGGATTTTTTTATTTTTAATGTTTCATTTTAAGTGATGTTAAATCACTGCTCCTTTAAAAATTGTATTTTTTAAAAGTGTTTTTTGCATTGATACATGTCCCCCAGGGCAGTACCCGGATCCCCATACACTTTTTATGGCCAATTAATTGCATATAAGGCTTCAAAATGGGGACATTTAATTTTCTGAGTTCTACCCCCATAGACTTGCATTGAGTTCTAAGTTCGAATTAGAACTTTTTCCATGTTCGAAAGTTCGAGTTAGAACTGAACACGGGGGTGTTCGGCTCATCCCTAATGCACACCAGCAGCGGTGCGGTGTAGCCCAACTTCTGGTGTGAATGGGCCCTGAGGTCTCTTGGGAGGAGTATTGAGGCCGGGTGCTGTGATGCTTTCAGGAAGCTATTTATAGTAGTGATGGCCTCGGGCGTGTTCGCAAGCGCCTCGTGCCGAGCCCGCCAGGAAGCCGTCAGCGCGCAGGGCCAATCACAGGCACTGAGACATGTTCCCGGTCCGCAGCTGCAGAGATCGGGAAATGTCTCAGTGCCTGTGATTGGTCTCGGCACGAGGCGCTTGCGAACACACCCGAGGCCATCACTAATGTACAGCACCCTACCAGGCTCCCCCCAGCCATCATTTGCCTGCATTGCATGGAGAAGCACAGAGATCCATTGA